CTGGAGCTGGTCTTGCTCCATCCGTCACCCATGTGGGTCCCTGCACACCTCCTTGTGCACAGAAGTGGGAGGAGGACCCTGTTGGAGCCAGAAGGAGGGGCCCAGGGCTGACACGGTGTCCATCTCCCCCCAGCTATAAGAAGGGTGGGGTGGCCACTGGCATGCAGCACGTGGAGAGCTATAACAAGGGTGGGGTGGCCACTGGCATGAAGCACGTGGAGACAAACACCTACAACGTCCAGCGCCTGCTGCACGTGAAGGGAAAGAAGAACGTGGTGGCAGGAGAGGTGAGTTATGAGATGTAGGGTGCCGCCAGCCACCAACCTCTACACAGAGACACCATTTGGGGTCAGGATCAGGCCAGACCCCCATCCAGACACAGCTGCCCTCAAGCAGGTTGTAGAGTGTGTGTGGGGCCACACCACCTTGCCTCAGGAGTAACTTCACCCCCAAAAGACCCTCTTGGGGTAGGGAGGAGGAACACAGGCTGGAGGCATCAGCACTGAGGCAGTGCAGGCGGGGGCTGCGGAGCCATGGGGACCCAGGTGTCCTGCTGCTTGACCTGCCCCCTCCAATCCCGTCCCGCTACAGGTGGAGATGAGCTGGAACAGCTTCAACCGGGGGGACGTGTTCCTGCTGGACTTGGGCCAGCTCATCATCCAGTGGAATGGCCCTGAGAGCAACCGAAACGAGAGGCTGAAGGTACGGCCAGGGTGTCCCAGGGTTTCCCCCATGCAGAAAGGGCTGACTGGCCACCCCCTCCTCAATCTGGACTGACTCCTTCTCCCCCGGGTGCAGGCAATGACCCTGGCCAAGGACATCCGGGACCGGGAGCGCGGGGGCCGTGCCAAGGTGGGCATAGTGGATGGTGAAGATGAGGGTGCCTCTCCGGGGCTCATGGAAGTCCTCACGCATGTGCTGGGCGAGAAGAGGGACATCAAGGCAGCCACCCCTGATGACAAAGTGGACCAGAAGCTCAAGTCCTCCCTCAAGCTCTACCAGTGAGTTGCTCTTGGTGGGTTGCCTGTGGGGGCATCTCACAGGGTGCCAGAGGGACCCAGCACCCATCTCTACTATGTCCCACAACTCCAATCCACATGGACAACCACCAAGAGGGGTCAAGGCCACCTCAGGGGTGGGGAGACAGGTTCTTTGGATGCCATTGGAGCAAGGGGAGTCCCTGATGCCTACAGAGTTGGTACCTGATGGAGAGATGCTCATGAAAGCGTGACCTTAGGATATGGTGGCAATGTCCCCATCGCATCTGACACCCCTTTGTCACTCTTCCTCATGGCTATGAGCGAGCTGCATGGCAGGGCAAGATGCAACCCAGGTTGCCACCATGGCAGGGCAAGAGAGTCCCTGGGTACTACCTCTGCTATGATCAGGGTGGGAAAGGTGATGGGGAGGGGACACCTCCATGCAACCCTGCCACCTCAAGGTGGGGATGGGGATGGGGTTTTCTAGCCCCATTTCTAACTCTTTCTCCTCTCTCTTCCCCTGCCAGCGTCTCCAACGCCAGCGGCAACCTGGTCATACAGGAGGTGGCGATTCGACCCCTGACTCAAGACATGCTCATGCATGAGGTGTGTCACCCATGGGATGCTTTGGGGTGCCCAGTTTCCTTGGCAGCTTCAAAAGTCCTTGGTGAGGCAAAGCCACCAAGCCACCAAAGCTGCTTTCAAAGGGTTAAAGCTGCCCAGCATCCTAATTTCTGCTGTTTTCCACCTTCCAAGGACTGCTACATCCTCGATCAAGGAGGTCTCAAGATCTTCGTGTGGAAGGGCAAGAATGCCAACAAGGAGGAGAAGCAGCAGGCGATGAGCAGGGCGCTGGTGGGTGCTGGGTTGGGGGTTGGTTATAGGATAGCTGCGCTGCTCCCCAGGGTGCCAGACACTCCATGCCCATGTTCTGGGTCCGAATCCCCCCAGGGCTTCATCAAAGCCAAGAACTACCCTGACAGCACCAGTGTGGAGACAGAGAATGATGGGTCTGAATCGACCATCTTCAGGCAGCTCTTCCAAAAATGGACCGTCCCCAACCAGACCACTGGGTTGGGCAAGACCCACACTGTGGGCAAAGTGGGTGAGTGTCCCCTTCCAACGCTACAGGACTCCTTGAATTGGGATGGGGGGGTTGTAGGGACCCGCACAGCCAGTGGGATGTGGCTCAGCCCTCTGCCCTTCCCTGCAGCCAAGGTGGAGCAGGTGAAGTTTGACGCCGCCACACTGCATGCCAAGCCCCAGATGGCTGCCCAGCAGAAGATGGTGGATGATGGATCCGGGGAGGTGGAGGTAGGGTGGCCAGGGCAGAATGTGGGACCCTCTCGGCACACACCCTGGGCTGTACTAGGGGATGCTGTGGGGCACAGGGCTGCAGGGCAGGGGGGTGCGCCAGCCCTGGCAGCAGCACGTCCCCATCCCACCAGGTCTGGCGCGTGGAGAACCAGGAGCTGGTGCCCGTGGACAAAAGGTGGCTGGGCCATTTCTACGGCGGGGACTGCTACCTGGTGCTCTACACATATTTCGTGGGGCCCAAGGTGAACCGCATCATCTACCTCTGGCAGGTGAGACCCCCAGGTCACCGGCCTGCAGTTGGGGAACAGGGCCACCTCCCTGGACCGGGGGTGCTCTGCCCCTACGCATGACCCCGTGGGAATGGCATGAGAGTTCTCCCTTCCCAAGAGGGGAAAAAAGGGGGCTGTGGTGGGTGCTGAGCCCCCCTCTGGTCTGCCCAGGGCCGCCAAGCCAGCACAGACGAGCTGGCCGCCTCTGCCTACCAAACCGTCATCCTGGACCAGAAGTACAACAACGAGCCCATACAAGTCCGCGTCACCATGGGCAAGGAGCCAGCCCACTTGATGGCCATCTTCAAGGGCAAGATGGTGGTATACGCGGTGAGCACGGGGCTGTGGGGAGTGGGCAGGTGGGTGAGCCTGCGGCACTGGTGGTGACCTCCTGTCCCCATCCCCCAAGGGTGGCACCTCACGGGAGGGCAGCAAGGAGCCCACACCCTCCACCCGCCTCTTCCACGTGCGTGGCACCAATGAGTACAACACCAAGGCCTTTGAGGTGCCCGTCTGTGCCTCCTCTCTCAACTCCAACGATGTCTTTTTGCTGAAGACCCCCAGCTGCTGCTACCTCTGGTATGGGAAGGTGGGTACTGCCGGGCAACTGGGGTAGGTGCTGTCACCCCTAAGAGAAATGTCCCCATCTCCTCTTCCTCCTCCTCGCTGGGACTGTTGATGGAGCAGCTGTGCTTGCTCGGCAGGGCTGCAGCGGGGATGAGCGTGAGATGGGCAAGACAGTGGCCGACATCATCTCCAAGGCGGAGAAGCTAGTGATCGCGGAGGGACAGGAGCCAGCTGAGTTCTGGCTGGCTCTAGGGGGCAAGTCCCAGTATGCCAACAGCAAGAGGTACCAGTCCTTGTGCTTGGGGGTCCCTTGTCCATACCTATCCTTGGTGGTAAGATGGACTACCAGTCTCCAAGCGGGGTGAGGCCTGTTCCCACCACCATTACCACATTGCCTCCTGCCAGGCTGCAGGAGGAGAACCCCTCCGTGTCTCCCCGACTCTTTGAGTGCTCCAACAAGACAGGCACTTTCTTGGCCACGGAGATCGTAGACTTCACCCAGGATGACCTGGAGGAGGATGATGTTTACCTGCTCGACACCTGGGACCAGGTGAGCTGTGGGGGTATGGGGCTGGGGGACACCTTTGGTCCCACAAGCTGATGTCCCTGGGGTGGGGTGGAGGACTTGCAGCAGCCCGAGGTAGTGGGATGAGAGGCTGGAAACCCCCATGTCCCTGGCCCCACGCTGTATTTTTTCAGCCCACTTGCTCCAGGGATGGTTGAGGATGGACTCCCGGTGCCCTTCCCTGTGGACAGATCCTGTGTGCCCCCAACCCTAGAGGACCCCAGTTGTGGACATGGTGACCTCGTTGCAGGTTTTCTTCTGGATTGGGAAAGGTGCCAATGAGTCAGAGAAGGAGGCAGCAGCGGTGATGGCGCAGGAGTACCTGCGGAGCCACCCCAGCGGGCGCGACCTCGATACCCCCATCATCGTGGTGAAGCAAGGCCACGAGCCCCCCACCTTCACAGGCTGGTTCCTGGCCTGGGACCCTCTCAACTGGGCCGTGAGTCATGGCAGGGGGGCTGGAAAGACCAGGGGACCCTTTGCAGGTGGGACCAGATGTAGCTCTGGCCCCAGCCACTATCTCCAGGGTGTGGGCAGCAGTTTGCCTGATCCCTGCCCGTGCCGAGGGGCTGAGCGCTTTTGTCCCCTTCCCAGGACAAGAAATCCTACGAGGTGCTGAGGGCCGAGCTGGGGGATGAGAGCAACCTCGGGCAGCTCACCTCAGTAAGTGGCACAGGGAGAGGGGGCGGCTGGGGGCACAGAAAGCCCCCCCATCCCCTTGGTGGTGGCACAAGGTGCTGCAAGGATGCGTCCTCCGGTGAGGGGACGCCTGGGGCAGCCCGATGTGACGCTGTACCCCCATCCAGGTGGTCATATCCAGTCAAGATGTCTTCACCACCACCACCCCCATCCTTCCTGACAAACTCCAGATCTTCCCCCTGGACGTGCTGGTGAATACCTCGGCCGAGGACCTGCCGCGGGGTGTGGATCCCAGCAGGAAGGAGGTGAGATGAGGCCGGAGGGCTGCTGGGGGGGATTGGGGGAAGCCCCTCAGCTTATCTCAGCCTCCTCTCTCCTCCCCCAGTACCACCTCTCTGACCAGGACTTCGAGGCTGTATTTGGCATGAGTCGCTCCACCTTCAGCAACCTCCCCTTGTGGAAACAACAGAAGCTCAAGAAAGACAAAGGACTCTTCTAGGGCAGGAGCCTGGGCACAGGGACAATCCCAGCTTGCTTTTTAGTAAATAAAATAGATGTGGAGAGCAGGGCTATGTCTTCCCCCTGACCCCAGCCCTGTTGTGGGGCTTACTTGACAAAAAGAGGGTGCACAGGGTGACACAGGTCCTGACCAGGCACAGGGAAAGGACCCTCAGCTCCTTCTCCTCTAGGTCCTTCACCCCCACTGCGCCCAGGGGTGATGCACAAGCCCGGGTTCCCCCATCCCACCCTGGCAGCTGCAGCTCAGGGCTCAAGGTCCAGCGTACAGCTGGAGCCGCTCCCTCCGTTATCATGCAAACCTCAGTAAATATACGTGGTACCAAAGGTAAAAGGAACAAGGCAGAGGCTGAGGGGACGGACACCAGGGAGCACTTGTCCTTGCTCAGGGAGGGGAGGAGGGCATTCCCCTCCTGCTTGGGATCTGTTGGGGGCCAGGAGAGGGGCTGGGGGGTCCCCAAAGTCTCTGGCAGGGGGGGAAGGTGGAATTTGCATGTGCCAGCAGGCATTGAACACACACACACACACAGACACACACAACACGCACATGATGTTCCCGGGCAAAGTCCCAACGGCGAATGCGGGGCAGAGGTGCGGTCCCCATCGCCTGCAGTGTTCAAGAGGCAGCAGCTCAGGCAGCATGGAAATAAGGTCCTGAACTAAGAGAGGGTTAATAAAGAGGTTTTAATTTCACAAAAATCTATCTACACATCATTTAAAAAGGGGCAGGGGGAACCCAAGAGCAAAAACTGTAAAGAATAGAGAGGAACAGGTCTGCTAAAACACAGAGAAAAGTGCTGCTCCACATCAACAGTGTAAAGAACCAGAAAGTTGGGGTGCAGGCAGAAACTGGCAGTGGCCACCCCATGGCAGGCAAGGCTGGAGTCAGGCAGCAGAGCTACACAGACAGCAGCTGCCACGGGTCCTGCACCCCTTTTTCTCTCTTTGGCGGGCAGTTACATGGATAATTAGCTCCATTAGAAAGAAAACAAAGCAGATGAGTTATTCCCAACCTCCCCCCAAAGCGCAGCCATCCCCCCGGGCCACAGCAGGGTGAACTAGAGCAGGAAGCGCTAGGCTGGCCATCAGCCCTTCCTCGGGACAGGAAGGAAGATGCGCAGGCGATGGTTATCCACGCTGCACAGGAGGTGGAAGGTGATGCCATGGACGCAGGCATCAGAGCCACGCTCCTCCTCCTGGCTCAGCTCCTCGCAGGCCGCCGCTCCGGTCTGGAAACCAGTCCTTGCTTTGCAGAGGCTCTGTGCAGCCCCTGGCTCCCAAGGGACCCACGCACACAAGCTCCAGTTCACTGACACGAATGGTTTTGCACCCCTCGGAGCAGGGGAGTAAATCAAGACCCAATTACCGCAGTCAAATGACAAAGGGGCGAGAGGAACAGCAAGGTGGGAGTTCCTTCTGTTTATATGCTGAATCACACTTGGACTAAACTAGGCTGATTCAGGAGTGGGTAAATGTTTAACCACGACTCTCTACATCTGAGGAAGAGGCTGCACACATTCAGGGACCGCAGCTGAACCTCTCCACCTACCTATACCCCAGGAAGATTACACACCCACCTCCCTCCCTGCTGCTCCCAGGCAGGGAGGAAGCTGGCTTCTGCAAGGAAGGGATTCCACAGACACTCCTGCCAGGGCGAAGGTGCAACTGAGCCGCCATATGCTGAACAAAACAGCTTAAATTAATTAACAGATGTCTGGAAATTCATAATGGCTAGAATAATAAGCAAGGACTTTTCATAAAACAAGGAACACTGTTTCAAGCATCAGCTTTCGCACTTTGATCTAAACAAAAACTGGTTTTAAACAAAAGTTACTGCACTGAAAAGTCAGGCAATATTTGCTTTTATTATAAATTAACTGGAGTGCAGCACCTTGCAAAAACAACCTTGCCACCCAAAAAAGCAGAGCTGACTTCTGACACTACAGGAATACTGGTTATTTACAGCACTAGCATCGGATGCGCTTGGGGAAAAGAGATTTGCCCTCTGGACGGAGCAGTCCCTTCCTCACATTCGCAGGGGCGATCAGTTCAAAGGACAACTCCCACATCACCGCCTCTTCCCGTCGCCCAGAATTCTACCAAAATTAGTATCAACAATAGAAAAGTATAATGCTTTGTAATAAATTAACATATACACCCACTTGGGCTGCATCTTACAAGATAAATCCTCTGTCATGTTTACAACCAAACGTTGGCTCCTAGCTCGGAAACCAGAAAGATGTTACCCTGACCAGGTCCCAGCAGGGTCATCCGACACGTGGACTGGAACGTCAGTCAGTCTTTTCACCACACTGGGGTCCCCGAAGTCCTTGGCTTGGGGAGGACCACCGACGGCCGTCACTCGCTGCTGCGCATGGAGGTGAGAAGAGGCCACTGAGGTAGCATCCCCCCGCCAGCCTGCTAGGATAAACTCTAGTGTGGAAGCGCCCATGAAAGAGGTGCCTGCTGTCTCCTAAATCGATGGATTTGTCTGCTTTGCTTCAGCTGATTTATTCCTGAGAAACTCCTAACAATAGTTTAAAAAAAAATCCAGAAACTATCTGTCTCGACAGCAAAAAAAGTTGTGGGTTTTTTATTGTTTTTTTTTTCCTTTTTTTTTTTTTTAAAAGAAGTCATTCACCTCTAAAACTCAAGCTGCAAAAGTCAGAACTAGAGGCCGAAACAAGAGCAACTACTCTGCTTGAGAGCAACATTTTCTCTGAAATGAGTAAATGCCAGCAAAAGGAAACATCTGCCCCTGGCTAAATAAGTGCCTAGGTGCTGAAAAAATGAAGTCACTAGGCTTTTCCCATGCTGCTGAAACAAGCTATAAAAGGAGCATCATGTCTCTAAATCCAATAAAACACAACATTTCTTCCTAACCGTATTCTGTTAATGCTGAACATGGGCCTTCTGAAAGCTTTCCACCTGGTTTAGTTTCACAGTTTGAGCGCTGTGCACTCCTCTGAAAGGAGAACAGAGGCATAGCTGCAGTAAAAAACCTCTTACCCTGGGGTACGAGACAACCGAGGCAAGACCATGGTTCAATCAAAGAGCAATTCAAGTGCCAAGCGCTACCCTGCAGACCCTGCCTTTTCCCACTGTTCCGCATTCACGATGACCCAGAAAGGGTAACACTAGGATGCTCTTCCCCTCCCAGAAGAGGCAAAGTGGCTGTTGCTCCCCTCTTGCTACCACTCTCAGTCTGCTCCAGCTGTTCACCTGCCCCATGGAAGCAGCACTAAGCAAGACAACTTCAGTGCGAAGTACTGCACACCCAAGGAGAGACCTCTCCTCTCCAAATGGTACTTATGAAACAACCTCATGAAGAAAATGCCATCAAATAATAGAACTTGTAAAACAAAAGAAATCACAAATATAATCTCACATCTAAAGGAGGCCGACAGTGAATGGTTTAAAAAAAAAAAAAAGACAGAGCTGCCACCAGGTATGCAATACATTCCACGGCACCGACAGTTTGTTTCCTGGAACCGCACATAAATAGCGGAGCGCTTACAAGCCCATGAACTTCAAAACGCATCAGTTTGAGTGATTCCAAAACACCTGCTAGTGAGATGACTGGCAAGAGTGTACTCTGTGATCTGGGTTTCCAGTGAATATTACTAACACAACACACGCCAGGTTACAGAATCTATTGCTTAAATTGCTCTTGGAGGAAACAAAAAAAAAGCCAAGTGATATGTAAATCTTCGCCACTCACGTCTCACAGGTGAATGGGCTTTTAAAGTCGTTTCTTTTTGCACTATTTTTTTTAAATCAGTTTATGAGCAGCTGTATTCTTGTGGCTTGATGCAACTCTTTAAGGCTCCATGCTGACAAAATTATTTGAGGAACAATAAAAACTTCACCACAGGACGATCGCTCTGGGATGTCAAGGTTTAAACACATGGTTCAGGCCCAGGACTTGCACAGATGGTTCAACAAACCGAGCTTCCCATATTTCTACCTTTTGTCTCTTGTTTTGGCCCTGAGCTGTTTGTTACTCCTGCGTGTCTGGCACAAGTTCAGAATCTTCCTTGCTCCTCAGGAGGAACAAGGTATTTTACTCTTCACAGAGGCTGACGAACCGATCTTCCTACTTCCATGCTAAGTGGCTGTGCATTTTTTTCTGTTTCTAGTAACTCATCGAAGATATCCCTAGAACAGAAGGAAAGACCAATAGTGAAACTTATGTACAACAAAAAACTGCTATGTAAGACAGCCCTGAGGGAATCAGCAACTGGATTTAATCCACAAACTCAAGCGTCACGGATCCTGGCAGAGAAAGGTGTCTTATCTGGCATCTCTAAGCAAGGCTCCTTGAATCCCACAGCACTTTTTTTTCTATTTATTACAATGAATAAGGTCAGTGGTAAGCCTCAGAGAACAGTAACAATGGTGAAAGTAACTCCTGGCTGGTAAAAGCGTCAGAAGCAACACAGGACACAGTCTGTAGATGAAGTAATATCCTTTATTAGAGCAACCAGTAAAGAGAAAAGAAGGGGTCAAGTTGAGGCACAAAACCCCTTCTTCAGTCCTGTGTGCCTGTAAAGGTATCACTTCTACCTACAAACCTCATTTTGCCCAGGTCCTAAGATGACCACGGCTGCAGCAACACAACCACTAGGAGCAGGGGTAAGGGCATTCACAAATATCACAGCACTTAAGGGAAAAGCCCAAGCTCCATTATGATTCCTGGTGCAATGAATGCACAGCTGAGACAGTGAATCCCCTTCTTAAAAGATGATTTAATGCATCTTGTTAAAACCCAATGTACTAGTGATATACAATTCCATGCCTTCAAACTCCAAGCACTTCACTTTTGTTATTCTTCCGTATAATTCTGACTACGATTTCTTCTGACAAATACATGGAGATAATTTTCATTCCAGCAAAGAGGACTAGAGGGAGAAGAGAAGCCCACTTCCTCACAAACAGCAGGTAATTACTAGCACCAAAATTCCCCAAGACACCTACTTGTGC